TTTGTAACAGTTACTAAGACTGATAATATAAAATTTGTCAGCAAAGTTTATGATTAATTATTTTAATTTGAAACTTTAATTTTATATGAAATAACTGTCCTAAGGAGTTAAAAGTATAACAATTATTTCATTACATAATATGCAGACTATCAAATAGTGAGTAAATTTGATTCATAACAGAGTCTTGTGTTCTAAAATTTAAACAGCAATGCTTTTTGCAAATCATTAAAGCTCATTATATCATGATGAAACTTAAATGCATATATTTAGTTCATTTAAATTCTGTTCAATTTCATACTTGTTATTATCATGTAATCAATTTGTTTAAAATTTGTTATGCAATATAAACCTTCCTAAGAATGCTAGAAAAGTTTCTAAAGTAATGTATATAAGATTCATATTAAGGTAATTAACCCTTTGACGCGCACGATATTATTTTTATAATATTTTTAACTAAAAACTCTAGAAATTGAATATTATGATCCTAGAGACAAATAATATATGAATTTTAAAAAAATCTACTCTTGTCCATTGTTTTGTGGGTGGTGGTCGCACTGTGAAACCACCGCACATCTAGGGCTTTGAAACTTACCTAGGTAGTAGGGGAAAAACTTAACTTTCTCCTTGCGCGTTTCTAATAAATGACGAAATTTACGAATTAAAAAAAAAAAAAAAATGCATGTAAGAATTGCATAATATATTTATATTACATTATTTTACAAACTAAATCATCAGAAAAAATTAAAAAATCAACATTTATGTAATTTTACTGTAGCAGTGAAAGTATAGTACCTACATAATTAGGATGTTTGGCTACATGGATTAAAAAACTCAGTAAAATAAGGATTTAAATTTCAAAGAACAAATCTTTTTCGTGACACTGTTCAAAGCATGTTTTGTCTTTTTGGTACATGCATAGACCCACATTGCATGTTTCGCACATGTATTCTTCTACGTGTTTCTTCTTGCTACAATCGTGCTGATGATCTAAATTCACTGAAATGTCCAGCGTTATTTAGTTTTTTCTCATCTGGCACATGAAATTTGTGGTTTTTTATGTTCATGGAGGGGGCTTGGTCTGTTGGCTTTGGATGGTATTTTTTCCCATTCATACTTATTTTATTCGTATTTTTCTCATAATATTCAGAAATTATTTTAATTTAAATAAAACTTACATGATTTCTATTTTAATTACAGCACAGTATATTTACATTAAATTTAAACCACAGGAAATAATTTATAAAACACAATACTAGCTTGGGAGCAAGTGTGTTGAGGTCAGAGAAAGTCTCTGAAATAAAGAACTTTTTATGGCAAGTGCATGTATTGTCTAGTGTAAAATAACTGGTGATTTCAAAACCCTTATCTATATCTGGGTAAAATAAAATTCCATTTGAGAAGCAACAAACGCCGTTATGAAGAGCAGTGGTTTCAAGGTGGACCATCGGCATCTAGAGCATTGTGACACAATGCTCAGTGGGCAGTGGTCGCACCCTGAAACCACAAAGCAAATGCCATACATATAGAGGTTTTTTTATGTATGAATTATTATTCTATTTTTTATGTTTATGATAGAAATCATGAAGTGCGATGAATCTTTTTAAATTTAAGTTTTTTACATTTAAAGGAAGTTATTTTTGTCCATTGAAAACGAATTTAAAAGGTCCGATTAAGTAGTAAGACCTAAACATGATGATTCTGTAGCCATTTTGTGTTATTTAGAGGTAAAAGATCAGTAATCAATTGATTTTCACTCAAAAATTTCAGAACAGGAGAAAAAAATTCGAAAATTGGTGGTTTCAAGGCGCGACCACCGCGCGTCGAAGGGTTAAACTGTGGAACTGCAAAATGAAATTGTAAAAATTTACACTTATTGAAAAAGTAGTAGTAATTGAGTTCATATGTACACATAATTTGCGAGTTCATATGTGCACATAATAAAATGTAGGTAATACTTTTTAGTATTTTATACATTTTTACAATAATTAAAAAAATTGTGTACAAGTTTATTTAAAGAACTTTTTTTTGTGTCTTGTTTGGAATTTTAATATTGATAGTCTTCAGAGCTATGTAATGAACATTATACCAATTTAACTACAGATTCTGTTGAATAATTGCATAGCATTAAGAGAAAAACATTAACTGTAATACATAATTACATACAATATGTAAGTAACAAATAATTTTAAAAATAGATTATTTAGTAATTTATTACATTCAGAAAATTTTTCTGACTGATATAAGGCATTTTAAATGTTAGTCTAAATATTAAGTAGCCTCTTTCATTTGTTTGATGTTTTATAATCCTGCTACGTTAATAAGATTTATAAAAACATGCAATAATTATGGAATGAGAAATAATATGTATTCCCACTGGCAAGCATTTTGTTGAAGTAGTCGGTGAAACAAAAAATTGATGCTGGGTAGGAATCAGCAAAGGAGACACAAAGACAGTACAGAAAAATCAGTAAGTAAAAATTTTTGTTACTGCAATTTTAAAACCAATTTTTTCCTTCAAAGAAATTATTTGCTTTTAGAAGCACCACATCTTTCTCAAATACATTTATCTTGAAAATAAATAAGAACAAAATAAAATGAAAATATTTCATATTCGTATAAGCTTGTAATTTTGTTTTAGACTGAATGTATAGTATGAGATGCCAGTTTCATAGAATGGATTTAGAAAAACAGTGTTTAGCAAAGAAGCTAAACTGCGTGAAGACCAGTCCCCTAGCAGTGATGCAGTAACTTTGCGTGTAGGCCTTATCTATATCGATGATGACGGTGAATCCCGCAAGAGCTTTTTCAAAATATGGAGTGAACTGTTCTGATGCATTCTAAGTTAAGCCGAAGAAAGGGCATGATGTTCAAGCAGTGAAGATTTATACTTGTGTTTTCGAATGTTTTGGTAGCATGGCACTGCATTTAGAAAAAGAAGGATACATGAGACAGATTCCTTCATAGCAGCTCTAAAATAATTCATCACTAGACGGGGAAGACCGAAGGAAATGTACAATGATTGTGCCACTTATTTTATAGGTCCAAAAGACAACTGAAAGCATATTGTTCTGACCAAAGGGCACCTGGATACTTAACAGAGGAAGAAATTAAGTGGAATTTCAATCCGCCACACTTTGGTGGACTGGGGGAAGCCATGGTAAAGGTTATGAAATATATGACAAAAGCAAATGGTTCTCAAGCTCTACCTTTTGAAGGATTTGCTACCTATCTAGCAGAAATTGAAGCATGCCTGAACTCAAGACGTTTAATAGCAATTTCAGGTGATCCTGATGATTTTTCCGTGATTACACCTGGTCATTTTTTGATAGGAATATCACTAAAAGCTATTCTGGAACCAAATATGAGTGACAAGAAACTAACTTCGTAATTGTTGGAAACTAGTTCAACAAATTTTACAGGGTTGCAGCACATAATTTCTGATGATTTAGTAACAATGTGAATCATTGTTGATTTTCTCTCTCATAAATTTTTCTTGTGGAAGGATTAATTTCTTAGCAGTCTCAAATAAGCAAGTAAACGATCTTCTCGACTTATTTCTCCAAAACTTATCCATGTGTGAACATTTTATGTTGTCACTTTTCACACTCATGAAAGTTTATTTTATTATTTCAGTATGAACACCCATCTTGAAATGATTAAAATATATTCCTTGTGTAATAGATGTATACCTATCAAAATATCAGTGACAGTCAATCAGTCCATAAACTATTCAAAAGCATAAATTAACATTCAAATCTTTCTCAAACTGCATACCAAAAAGTGCTACTTCCTTTATTGATTAAAAGTGCAATTAAATTCAACACTTCAATTCTGCTATTCAACTGTATTTCTCTCTATGAAATTATCTCACACTGATAACACTTCATTTAAAGTACATCAAACATGCAGGGTTTTTTGCTTGAAATAAAATTTTATTGAAATGAGATTTGTGGCAGATTGTACGCAGCTGTTGGAACCATATTTATTGTACCACATTTCCACTTAACTTATTATGACAGCGAATGCATACACACTATTTTAAATTGAAAATAGCTATCCTAAACTTATAAGCTTCATAGATGTTTTTGTACTGCACAATGATGCCATTTCCAAAGAACTCAAAATTAAGTAATTAACTTTTCAAATATTCTTTACAAGGCATAATTCAGGTTATTAATCTATTTATGAAATGATTCTGATGTTAAATATAGTAATTAGATATATATGCTACATTTCATGTTCTTTTGCTAATTTCATTTAGTAATTTTCTTATATTTTTATAGTAAGATAGTCCTGAAAAGGAAAATTTTTATCTATTAAAGTACTTTTAAATACAATGAAAATAAAACAAATAATTAATGTATATATTATTGCATGGATAAATCTAGTATTGTACCATATGCTGACGTAAAACAATATTAAATACAAATATTAACCAATTAAACATTGATTTAATTTTCATACAAATTTCATAGAATACATACATAAAATTTCTACAAATGTTTACAGTAGAAGACAATTCATATCAAATAAAATTTAATGAGAAAAATGATGTTGAAAATCACTGTGGATAGGAAAATGAAATCTGGACAATTTAAGTTTCATTCATTCAATAAATTTAACTTATTGTTAGGTAGCATTTATCTTAGCTAAATATTTAAATCTAGGAAATTTTGCAATCTAACAGGAGATTGGGAGACGTGATGAAAAACCGGGAGAGTTGGCAGCTATGCATACAATCCAGCACATGGCACATTTGCATACCAAATACCAGAATTGCTGACACAAGCAAATAGCTTTTTAATACCTTTTCAACAGTTATAATTATTTTATAATTATAAAACATGCTAGGATTTCCATACACCAACAATGCATCATGAAAATAACGAATTCATATAACTCATATTCACACATATACTCAACTTGTGTCCACACATATGATGCTCAATATTTTTTCATTTTCCAAAGAATTAAAATAGGAAATATTATCTAGAACATACCTATCTTCTTTTGTTTCCTTCTTTATTTCCTCTGAAAGAAGAAAAAAAAAAGTTCCAAGCATGAAAAGCAAAATGACAGTTGTTTAATGATTATTTAAATTGCATACAAAAGTTAATAACTACATACAAACATAATAAAAATGAAAAGCTCCTATCGTGAAAACAAAAAAGATAATAAAAATACCCTTTAAGTAATATTTACACACAGTATTTATTAATATTAGTTTTACTGCTAAAAGAAAATATTTCACCAGATTTTGAATTTCTTCCTTGTCTTAATTTTTGTTTGTCTTCAATTCATGCACATAATGAAAGAAAAAAAATATTTACATTAAGCCTTGAAATTTCACAGCATAACCTTCCAAGGGGAAAATTGTAATTCACATTGTATTCTAGTTAATAAAAATTCAAAGGAATGCTCTTTTTTTTTTTTTTTTTTTTTTTTTTTTTTTTTTTTTTAAACTAAAGACAGTTTTACTATTCAATTTCTAGAATAAAGAGAGCTTCATGAACTGTGTCAGAATTATCTTTGTTAATTAACTTAGTTCATTTGTTTCTACACATTTCTCATGTATTATTTTATTAACTTTCATAAGAAAATTTAAAAATACCACTATATGAAATACTACCTTAATAGCCCCAAAATAGAACCTGTGATATATAAATATGGTGAATGATTGATTTCATGATTGATTTATAGGAAAGATGGCATGCAGAAATACAGTTTATCACCCTTCAATAAATTGTCTTCCATGGTCATGCCCTTCTGATTTCGGATATCACAAGACAATAAATTTTATCTATCTATAAAATTAGAAATTATATCTACCTATAAAATTAAACAGAAAGTATTAGCACAAAAACAAAAGAATGTAACAACTTACACAGAAAGAAATGCTGGTTAGTCTATATTTTAGGGTGACCCTTTGATTATCGACAAGTTGTTGGTTCATTTATGGTAACCTGAGTAGTTGTATGTTATGGAAACCCTATTATGACGTGATTGGTTACGTTATTGTGGTGAATTTGATTGATGGGAAAATATTTGTAAGAGCTTATTTATGTGTTGGATGTTGGTCAGGAAATACACTGCTTAGTTTGTGCTTTACACCATTAAATGGCTGTATGCGATGACATTAATCTGTAGTTTCTGTATGATTTGAAACGAAAGGGGGAAAAAGCATTAATTTACTGGTGTGTAAATGAAAGCTTACTTAGTAGTCATTATAAGTGTCCTATTGTTTGTACGAAGGAAATAAGTATGGTCGAACATAAAGATCATTCAGATGGCTTTGAATGAGTTTGTCACAAGAAAGGTTCATGCAAGAAATGCCTCCGGCAGTACAGAGGATATTTTTTACTCTTTATTTTTGTGAATTTATGTGGTGATGGCAGTATACAGATTGTAGTCTAGATAATTTTAGAAAGTTTTTTGAATGCTGTTAAGGAATTTTATGTGCCACAGACTGAAGACATAGAAATTTCCAAATAAGGTAAGTCTATGCTTCCTTTTTGTAGTGCACAGATGAGAAACCATGTATTTTCTTTATGTTATTTCATTGTTTGTTTTAAAATGCATTTTATTGAGATTATATATAGTTTTTGTTTAACTATGTTTTATTGCATTAAGTTTTGGAAGCCATTTTACTACGGAGCGCGTTTGGACATAAACAGAAATGGACAAAAATCGGCAATTTTCACCAAGGAGTACCCAGAAATATATTTTTACCGAAATGTTTAATAAAACAAATAAATACTGAGCTTTTTTTATAAATTTGAATTCCCCTAAAGTGATAAATGTTTCATTATTTCATGAACAACTATTTTATGTTTTTAATTTTAGAATTCTACAAGTCATCTTACTAAATTCAAACTGATGATCTAAAGTCCAGAAATTTCTAAAATCCAAAATCAGCAATGCCTTAATGATTTAAAATCCTGGACTTTGTACTGCAGTTAAGCTAATCAGCTTTAATTCAATATATATGAAGCTATTTTTAGTGCAAATAATGCCCATATAAGCAAAACCAGAGAAATCCCGTAACAATTCGCATTGGTGCTGAAACGTAGAAATAATTGCTAAATGTCCTGACATCCTGTAAAGTTACAACGATATGACATTTTCTGTATCAATCAATCAATGTACCATGACTTGAATCAGGATTCAACGAATGCAAATTTTATCAGCTGAAATACCTCTCCCTTCGAGTTAAGTACACATTCTTATCAAAATTATAAATTTGATTCAAATTGTGATATATTTCTTTAAAAATTTTACAACTTCTTATCACTTTGCAAAAAATACAGTCTCATTAGCACATTCTATAACATCATGTGAAACATAATAATCGCTTGAGTCCGTATGACAGGAAACAACAAAAGAGAAGAGTAAAATAACCCTTTATTATTCCAAATAAATTTTAACAAAACTCCGTCTTGGAATTGTACAATAAAGCCGACACTTGGGCTTGAACTTAACAGACTAAGAATTACACTAAACTAATCTTAACTAAAGAGATATAGCTGAAACTACCAAGATTCTAACAGAGTTGGCCTCTTAACGCTAATTGGCTACGAAGCTATCACGGGCCTAATGTACGGCCGAGCGTAATAATAAGATTCTAACAGAGTTGGCCCCTTAACGGTAATTGAATATGAAGCTATCAAAGGCCTAAAGTACGGCCGAGCGTAATAATAGCTTAAGAGAGAGTAGTCTAAAAAGGTGGATGCATGCAGCCAGAATATCTGGTATCCCTCTCACTAAGACTGCAGATTTCGCGGTTATATACTGCTCTTTCTCATTAACATTCAGACATGATTCTAAAACTATGTTCTGGCCGAAAGTGGTAAGTTGAAGTAAGAATAAATAGGAAAGGAAGTTTAACTCAAAATTTAACTGTTAATAAAATTAACATAATCTCTACAAGATGACTATTAAGAACATTTCACAGCTTCCTCTTCATGAAATCAAAAACATAAATGCATATTCAGAAGATAATATTGTGTACCTATCTTTAAAATAGGAGTTTACTGTCAGTTATTGCATGTTAACCAAAGAATTGTAATCAGTGTCTTCTAACATATTCAAAGTTTTAATATTTTTCACATTAAATCAAGTTACGTCTTCAGTGGATAAAATACACATAAATATGTATTATGCACACAGATACATACATACATAAATATATATTATGCATATAGATAGTCTAACATAATAAAACAGACAACAAAGAACTGACAAACTACTGTCTAAGCCATGGGTACACAAAGAAGCACAGTATTTTAAACTATTAAATTCAAAAATTTAAACCCCAACATCCTGATTGAGTGTTTTCTCCAACACTTGTAATTTTATACGATCTGAGCTTTGTTCAAGAGTGGTGGTGGTTGTAGTACTTTGTAGTGGTGGTACTAAAGGTTTTCAATTTTTGTTTAGATTGAGTTAATCAAAAGGTTGAGAATCGCTGGTCTAAATGATTAAAGGAACAATGTTGCTTCTTATGAGAAAAAGTTCAAAATATTATTATTTATTTAGTATGGTTAAAATGGATCTTAATAATTCACAATATCAATTAACAACATTTCTTAATGTCGCATTTAAATTATTTGGAGCATGAAAATAAAAAGTTCTAAATAAAAACTCTGGCTCACTTTCAAATTTGTCTCAGTTTAATTATATTTTAATAATTATAAGACAATTATCACTTCTAATAATTATAATACAATTAAAGAGAATTATCACTTCTCTAATCCCACTGTTTTTTGCTGTAATAAAATGCAAAGAATACGTATGGTTAGAGTAAAGAGAAGGGTACCCCTTGTATTATCACAAAGTTGTTTCATTTATCGCCAAGTTGTTGTTTCACTTATAGTAGTCCGAGTAGTTGAATGTTATGGAAACCCTATTATGATGTAATCAGTTGCATGATTGCGATAAATTCATAAAGGCTTCTGGTGTGTGTTGGTTAGGAAGTATATTGCTTGTTTTGTGGTTTAGAAGGTAAAATGGCTGAATGTGGTAAGATTAATTTAAAGTTTCTGATTTGGAAAGAAGGGGAAAAGTGTATTACTTAACTGGTGTGTAAATGAAAGTAGCTATTATTAAGTGTTCTGTTTGTAGTAAGGAAATGTATATGGTCGATCGATAAATGGTGCTACGGGGACATTTTTACTCTCATTTTGTGAATTTATGTGGTGAGGCCAGCATACAGATTCTAGTTCAGGTAATTTTAGGAAGTTTTTGGATGCTGTTTGACTGAAGACATGTTAATTCGCAAATAAAGTAAGTGGATATTTTCTTTGTGTAGTGCAAAGATGAATTTCCTTTTTATGTTATTTCATTGTTTGATTTAAAATGTAGTTTATTGAAATTATATATTTTTTTGTTGGCTGCTTCTTTGACTTTTTAAGTGAATCTAGTTTGATGTGTACATGGACAAAGTCAAAGGAGTACACAATGCCTAGTTTGTGCAATTCTCTGATTTTTTTAAAGTGAAAATAGGTCTCTGTGTACATGGATACCGAGTTTGTGCAATCTTTGTCTTGTTATTTTGGCTTTGTGTAGCCGCAAAGTATCATATGTCACTGAATATGATCAAGCTAACAAAAACAATTTTCTTCCCATAAAAGCTTTTACGAACACTTTCATATTTTGCAAAAGTTTTTAAACTTTGCTATCAAAATCCAACTGTACAACTTTTATTTTTTGAATACAGTTAATTGTGGAGGAAAATATTAAAACAGCAATAGTTAACAAAAACTGCAAATTTTCTCATTTTACATTAAAAAAAATTAAATTACAGAAATTGATAAAAAGTACTATATTTTACTTTTTTGGTTAAACTACAATATCCAAGTATTTTTGTATAATAATTCAACATTTTCTACATCTAAGTAGAAAGTTGTAAAGAATCACACTAATAATAAATTCTGTAAATATTTTTTAACACTGTAAGCAGAAGGTCTCTAAACAGAGCAAACAGAGAAATGAGGTCTTTCTTAGATGTGCATACATAACAGTATTTCGTCTTT